ACGCCTTGGCTTTGCTTCACATTCTGTATACTGACTAGCTTCTAATAAGCTGCTTTTTTGTGGGTTAGACACGTCCCACTTCCCTCTGCTGAAGCTTGATAACCAACTGACCTAGAAGGGCTTGGCCTTCACAACAGTCTTAGTCCACTCTTCAAATGAAAAGAATTGCTCGAAAATTTTGCTTGAGTTAAAGCTACAGAATTCGTTTTTTCCCGCAACACACTATTTGTAGTAGCTCTTCAAATTTCTCTTTTTTCCTGTGTTTGAAATTTTATCTCTTGGGTAAAGTTTTTGTGAATTTCCTTTTTGAGCCACAAATTTATCTGAGTTTCAGATTTCGATTTTCAGTAGTGATTTCAGTTTAGTTTACTCCAATTACAAAAACAGTCCTACTCTGTATTTACAGCAACAAAATCTGAATGCAAATGGAGAAATTCAATCAATGGCAAGTCATGGACCCCAATCTCTATTTCTTCTAAACAGTCTGGTAGGCCTGTCTCTTGCAGCCAGGACCTCTCTCTCACTCCTCAGAAAGCATCTATTTAGCACTTCACCACTTCTGAGCCTCTGACCCCATCATCTTTTCCTTTTCTCTCAAAAAAATAGAATCAGCCAGGTGGGGGCTTTCTCAGCTTACTCCCTTAAACACATTCATCTGCAGTTTTGCCTTCTCTCCAATGTGAAAGCCTGAGATGATCCTAAACTTCTTCAAAGACAAACCATTCTAGATGTGCTATTGTGTTCTGCCTCTTCAGTACTTTACTCCTTTTATGATGACTACTTCTCCATCTGTAGTCTTTCCACTAGATCTGTCCTTAGTATTTATGCATGATCAAGTACTTCTTGACTTAAAAACATAACCTTGGGTCCACATCCAGACTTCAACTTCATTTATGGTTAAAATTCTTAGAGATCACACCCCAGGTCCACTATCCTCTTTACCCACACTTCAATTCATTTTGATCTACTTTTGCTCCTATAGGTCCATTAAAACTGTTCTCATTGAATTTTTGGTTGCTAAATCCAATGGACATTTTTCAACCCTTATCAACTTAACCATGGGGTGGACTCCTTTTCAGTTGACCAAGAAAGTCTTGTTGGCTTTTGTATCCCTTGGCCCAAAGCCTCCAGGTCTTGTAAGAGTTCCTGGCACTTAACCAAGTCTCAATTTGATGAAAAAAAAAAATTTTAAATGGGAAATAGGAGCCAAATGGTGAAGGCTTTTAACACTGAGGTCTGAGAATTAATTTTCATTTTATGGACAGTGGTCATCTAGAAAAGTATGAGCAGGGAAGTAATATTATCACATCATTTGGGAAGTAAACTCTGGGGCAATGGATGATTTAGAGCAGTGGTTTGTGAAGTGCTATGTAGACCAGCAGCATCAGCATCACCTGGGAATTTGTTAGATAAAAGTTTATAGGTCCCACCCCTGACCTATTGATTCAGAAACTCTGGAGGTGTGGCCAAATGATGTTATGTCTCATGAAATTCAGAAGAACCAGTGGTTTGGAGAAGAAACAGAGACAGAACAAGTGTGAGTTATCAAAGGCCTGAAATGGTCATGGAGGTGTTGTGAAGAGTGGGATACCAGGAGAAATGTATTCAATCACTGGATGAAGGCCTTAGGCATTTTCTGGATAACAACTGATTTACTCTTAGAGAACATGCAATCCTAGTGCTGCCTCTGAAGTCTCATTCGCATATTCATTCAACAGATGCTTACTGGGCTGAAGGTCATTTAGTATTAACAGGGAGCACATGGGCAAAAGCCCTGAGCTAAAGTTATGATCTTCACTGTTTCTATAAGATCATCTCTTCCAAGATCCCGCTAGATACAAACTGTGAGCACTTTCAGTAATTAGTGGAGAACAGTGAGAGGTTCTCTGATGTCACCCCAAGTCTGAACAATGAACATGTTTTAACAGGAAAACAGACATCCACATTACCAAAAGGTTTATTTTCTTTTCAGAATTTTCCCATTTTCAGTTGACCCAACAGGCAGACCATGTGGTCCTAAGGGCTCTCAGCAGTTCACTTTTAGGAACCAATTTTGTTAAGATCTCAGAGCAAGAGAGCATTGGACATGGACCCAGTGGATGAAGTGAGGAGTAACTGAATTCTCAGTTACAAACCAGGGAAAGCAACTAGTTGACTTAGGCTGAAAAGGAATTTATTCAATGGGCAGAGAGCACCCAGAAGGCTTGGAAACCAGCAGGAACAAAACCTACAAGATTCATGGGCAGATTTACCCAGAGCAATGGCTCCTCAATACCAGGTGCCAGGAGCTTACCTGCTGCCCCTACTCGGTATTGGATACTGGATGTTTCTCCTATTGATGGACACCGCTGCTCTCAAGATGGATCCTCCCCTACCCCGATTCTCTGTTTTGCCGATCAAGGTAGGGTGTCTCAGATGCAAGAGAGGTTGGGATTAAGTGTTTGCTTCTAGAGGTAAAGGTGGTTTGTGCCTTTTGAACACAGGAATGGAATTCAGATGCAGAGCACCAAAAAAAAAAAGAGAAAACCACTAGTACAAACTTGCAAGTTGTGTAATTTAAGATCGTAGTGATCTAAGATGCCATCTAGATCAGATCCCAGAAGTAAAACCTTTTATGAATAACTCAGAATACCAATATATGTGATATAAAAAGGACATTATTCTGCATGCTGCTCTCCCTCCTTTCTATCCTACACATGTACACCTACTTGCTAGGCTCTAAGATAACCTGCAAAGAATTCCAGGCCCTATAAGGACATTTATTTATTTATTTTAAAGATTTTATTTATTTATTTGACAGAGAGAGACACAGTGAGAGAGGGAACACAAGCAGAGGGGAGTGGGAAAGGGAGAAGCAGGCTTCCTGCGGAGCAGGGAGCCAGACGCGGGGCTTGATCCCAGGACTCCGGGATCATGACCTGAGCCGAAGGCAGATGCTTAACGGCTGAGCCACCCAGGTGTCCCCCTATAATGACATTTAAAAATGAGGGAGAACAAATCATTTTATAAGTAGTTTGAAAATTCCCATGAAGGCTTGGGAACTGGGCAGGAACAAAGGTGATAAAGGAGCAGTAGGCTTGCATTTTACCCACTCTTTGCTCTGGCTCGGTGAATTCAGGCTTAGAAAAGTGAAGTGACCAATTTCCCTTAACATCACAAAGTAGTTAAAGCTAGACAGGAGAACAATGTTATTTGTGGTCTGGTGCTCTTTCGTACTTTCTCCAAACCAGACTCTCTTGGTCTTCATTGCCTCCTCTGGAAAACAAAGTGGTCTTAGACTGTTAGACATTCAAAAGACCTTCAAGGATGATTACTATTCTCTTAGCAACCCATTAAATGTTCCAGTTCTCCAACATCCCTTGTTTTGTATTCAGCCTCTTATCTTTTGTACAACTGTCCTTGTTTCCTAGTTTTAAGCTATCACAAAAGCATATACATTACTTTAAAAATCATTTGTGGGGAAAAATAGTAATGTAAATAGTCGGATTCATGCTGCTAACCACAAGTGACCTTGCATACTTTAACTTCTATTTTTTTTTTTTAATTTATTTCTTATGTAACCTTCCAGGGTTTCATTATGCAAACAATAACAAAGATATTTATTTCCCCTCTATACTCTAAATTTTTTTTTTTTT